GAGACCTGGAAGAAACACCTGGCTCCTGGCTTCAGCCTGGCCCAACCCTGGCCGTTATGGCCATCTGGGGAGTGAACCAGTGGATGAAAGATATCTCCCTCTCTCCCTCTCTCTCTAACTCTTTAAAATAAATCCTTTAAAAAATGTGAAAAAAGATACTAAGCTTGCCCAGATGAACACAGTTTGAGCTTACGTTGTTATAGGTGGAGAACGTCATATTTTTCATACTTTAAAAAAACAAAAATGAAAGACCTGGGCTTTTAGCCTTGTTTGGTTAAGATACCTGGGTCCAGCTTCAGGGTGTTTGGGTTTAATCTTTGGCTCCAGCTGCTCACTCCAGCTTCCTCCTGATGCAGACTTTGGGAGGTGGTGACAATGCCTCAATTAGCTGGTTCCTGCCACCCATGCGGGAGACCTGGATGGAGTTCCTGGCTCCTGGGCTTTTGTGGGCATTTGGGGAGCAAAACAGCAGAAGTGGGAAGCATGCGCTCTTGATCTCTCGCCCTCTCCAATAAATAAGTTAGTTAGTTGGATACAACATGCTTCTTAAATTGTTGAATGAGGAAATTCATGATTAAATGATTGTAGCATTTTTGCTATCACAATGCAAGGTTCTGGAAAATCTTTCTCTGTGACTTATTTTTTCCTGTTTTGAAAAAAGAAAAAAGGAGTTGTGTCTTGGCTGTATAACAGAGATATAATATATTATGATGACTGTATACACAAATAAGATTATATGATAGGTGGGTACTTATCATAAAATGAAGACTTTGTGTAAATTACACTAGTCATCCTCCACCCTCTGTTTCTTTTTGCTTTTCCTCGCTGTTTGTATTCACTGTGGTATCAATTTGAAATCATTTATTCCTTCTTCATCTTCACAGTTCTTTAAACTTAAGTTTACCACTACTAAATTTTGATAACCTCATAGCTGATACTCCTGTCTTATTATCATAGTCAAAAACATAGATACCAGGAGACTTCAGAAAGTTCACAGAAATGCATAACATGAAAAATGATGCACGGATTTCAATAATTTTTTTGCACCATGATAAATTTGCCTTTTAATTCCATAGTGTATGGACATTCTGAAATACTTTGTACGCTCTCATTCAGTGACTTTGTCTTAGCCCCGTGTGCAGTGTAAACCCTTAGCATCTATTTCAAGAGCTTCCATAAAGTGAATTCATCCTGTGAACACAGTGCTGTTTCCTCTGTGCAGAGGATACTCTCCAGCTTGGTCACTGCCCTTTCTACCCTCACTGTCCCACACCATCTCATTCATTCCCTTTGCAACAGCTGCTTTATTCCAGGTCCTGTGACTTTGTTTAATAAGTTGTTCTCTCTTACTAGAATGCTTTTTTTTTTTCACGCTAAGCTTAGCTACATCTCTCCTATGCAAACATGGCAGACTCATTTTCTCTCTCTCGACACCTTTGAGAGTGGCATATGATGAGGGTATACTTACAGTCCCATGGTTATGTGCTTTTCCATCTTGACTTATGGTAGAAACCAGAATTTTGAACTCATGAATACAAGAGTCTTCAAAAAATTTGTGGAAAATACATGTTTGATGAAGTTGGTATGGATTTCAAAAAATTAATGCACCAAAATAAGTTTATTGTTCAATTCTGCTTTCCATGAACTTTGTGAAGTGCTGTTACATATAAATATACCTGTGAACACATGAGCACAACAGGAAGACAGGATGTGATCAGCAGATTACCAGGGTAATCAATAAGGGATTGCATCCTAATGTTTTGTGGTCATTTTCTTAAAAAAGATGTTGTCTGAAGATGTATGATGTCGCTCCCCCTCTTCGTGGAGGAACGACACAGGACCCTGCGCTGTTCTTTCGTCTGCTCGGCCCTCCCCGGGTTTGCTGCTGGTTCTTCCCGGGTTGGCTACTATCCCTTCCACCTCCGTGGAAGGGCAGTTCCCCCTGGCCGCATTCCCCACTTCCGCAGGGGAGCGGCACACCGCCGGCCGGCTTTCTCGGGGGCTGCACAGGTGTTCCTTCAGCTAGATGTTCCCCTTAGATGTTCCTGGTGCATGCCGTCTCTCTCCTCCTTTATAGTCCTCCTCTGCCAATCCCAACTCGGCTGCCCACACGCCGAGTATGCTGCTCTCCTCCAATCAGGAGCAAGTCCTACAGTTTATTGGCTGAACTGGAGGCAGCTGTGTAGAAGCTGTTTTCTTCTCTCCCAGCGCCATATTGTGGGAGAGCAGATGCACAGAATAAGTCTTAATTCCAGTAACTTAGTCTAGTCCGGGTTGCTCCCCACATATGAGAATGGAGAAAGGGAACAGCAATTAGCATGCCATGTTTTAAGTAATACAAAGACTAGAATGGAATCCGAGGGTTTCGGTAATTTTAGAAATTTCAAATCTCTAGCTCATGAATATCAAGGTAAAGAATCAGGTTATTTTGCAGTGGCCAAAATACTGTGTGTGTGTGTAGGCTAAGGACATGAGTACCCTTTTTTGGCTTCGCCTTTTGTGCTTAGTGTGTTTCAATTTGTTATGAATGTTACTTATTCATAAAAGTGTATTTATCATAATACACCTTATATTTAATTTGTTTTTTTTTTCTGCTGTCTTCCCAAGGAAGATATCAACCAGATTTTGGTTTATTAAATATGTATGTGGGGTCCAGCACTGTGGCATAGCCAGTTAAGCCACTGCCTTCATTGTTGGTATCCCATAGGGGCACTGGTTCACGTCCCAGCTGCTCCTCTTCCAGTCTAGCTCCCTGCTAATGTCCAGGGAAAAGAAGCAGAAGATGGCCAAAGGATGTTTGTCAGTGCAAGTGGCCTTGCAATCATCATGGGCTTTCATGCCCCTTCCTTTTCAACAAGGTCAACCCATAGTTAAGGTGTTTGTAAGACCTCACTTTGTGTACGCATCTGTTATTCTTGATTTTGCTTTAAGAGCATGTGATAAACAAACTGTTTTTCATTTCTTGACTTCCTTTGTTTTAAAGTCAATCAGTAAACATTTTAATGGATAAAAAAGTAAGCCTAATAGGTTGAAAAGTTGATTTCAAATAAGACACATACACACACACACACACACACACACAGAGAGAGGGAAAGGGAGGGAAGAAGGTAATATCATTATATTCTTATAATTTTATCTCTGAACTACATTGAAAGTGTTCTCTTTGTGTTAATATCACATTACCATGAAAAAATAAAGTATCAGATGGTACAAAAAAAAAAAACAAGATGATATTTTGTAAAAATTGTGTGTGTGTATGTGTATGTGTGTGTGTGTCTCTTTTGAGAGTTTTTGAGATAACATTTTAAATTCACATTACTATTAAGGGCTTATCCACCTTTATATATATGGCCAGATAAAGAATCATCAGTTTCTTTAAATCTATCTATTGAAATGTCCTCCTAACCTGTGAAATGGCCAAATCAAGATCTAACAGCATTAAAATTCCTGCTTTATCTAATCTATACAGATAGAAAATGTATTAGATTTTCTAAGAGTTGGGGCCCTTGTTCACTTCTGCAGTGCAACGTATATAAATTTTAGGAACACATATATTGGGCAGAAATTAAAATGTGTTAAAAGGAGATATTTTCTGGTCCTTCTTCCTTGCCTTCAAAAACCAGAAAAATCTGATGTGTTTAGTAGAAAACGAAATGATGGTCATAGTGGGAAATTATGGTGACAATCTTATTGATAACATAAACATACTTCTCTGGTGTTTCAAGTCTTTTTCTGATTACATTACTTTGCATAAAAAGTAAACCATACTTTTTATCATAATATTAATTTCCTGTTTTTGTTTATACTATAGTATCTGGAAATCAAGCAATAGGTGTATATTTTCATTGTTTATAAGTACTCTCTGCAGTTTTCATTATTTTATTTCAGAGATCTCACTTATCAGCATCTATAGATGATCCTGAAAAATATTATCCTTTGAAATTTTTCTTTTGGGGAAAAAAAGTAAATATAAGCCAGAGAAGTGTTTGACAGTTCTTCTTGAGAACTTTTTCTTTAATATCAGTCACTTCAGTTCTAGCTTGCATAGTGAAATCCATCCTTGAAACTGCAAGACAAATGGAAAATGGGAAATTGCAATATTTGTATATACCCATTTATGTACACATGCCATATGCATTATGAAACTGAGTCATTTCTTTTTCATCCATTTTTTTAGAGGTCACAAAGTGATTAATGAAAATGAAGAGTTTTAATCTAAATGTTGATTGATTATTTAAGTAAAACAGTATCTTTTTTAGAATACTGCATCACTTGAGTTCCTACAGTAAAAGTTTTCCTTTTAATTTATAATTTGGTGAAGAATTTTTATTGGTTTTCTAATAGGAATTATGAAGTGACAGCTTACTTTGGAAGAGTGTGTTGTTGGACAGTGTTCTTTAAAACAGTAATCCTCAAGATAATTTGAGATTTCTTGTGTTTATATCATGACGTAAAGTGAACTTCTGGCAATCATCCAGTTAACTTTTATCAATGAAGGTTGACTGTCCAGATAAAAAGTTCTTCCAATACTCTCCTTCCATCCTCTCTTAAAGGTATATTTCTATGCAACTAACACTCAGAAAAATTATTCCAGATGCCCTATTGAACAAATCAAACAAAAAAGGTATACAAGGCTTGAACTAATAAGAATAGTAAAAAAATTGTATGAAACAGCATCGTTTTGTAACACACTATATAACTGTAGAGTACAGAAAAAGAGCTCTCGGCCAAATGGCATGGCATACGTGCCTTTCACAGCTTAGGAAAAGAGTAGATATAGACAACTGTTACTTGCTTTGAATCCCGGGGCATACTGAAGCTGAGGTCCATTTTGGTGTGGTAATCGTGAAAGGTGAGGTGGCAACTTCTTTGTTGCAACATCCAGGCTCCTAAATTAAATACCCATAGGAAAAATAGCCCATCTGAATATACTTCCCAAACGGTGCATTTATTTTGTGATTGATAGTCTTTTTCCCCTCATCTCTCTTTTTCTCCTGTAGCAGTTATATGCTGCCCAGCTAGCGGCAATGCAGGTGTCTCCAGGAGGGAAGCTGCCAGGCATACCCCAAGGCAACCTTGGTGCTGCTGTATCTCCTACCAGCATTCACACAGACAAGAGCACAAACAGCCCACCACCCAAAAGCAAGGTACCCTTCCGAAGAAGCTCTTTGTTTTTCCACTTAGTTTTACTTTTCCTATGGTGATATTTATTGAATGTCTATTATGTGCCAACAACAAGGCTCAGTTCTGGGTGTACATGGACGTAACAGTCTAGTAGAAGGAATGAGTGTGAATGTAGGTTGTACATAGTAGATCTACATACGCACAGTCATTTGTGAATTCATTCAGTCAGCAAACATGCATTGATAGTTGGAGTAAGAAATGCAAGTGACGCAATGATTTTTGAGATTGGTATCCTGTACTCAAGGAGCTTACGAGCTTATCCAGTAGGTGATTATAAAAAGAGCCAAATAGCCATACTGTGACACAAACTAGTAAGTTATATAAGGAGTTACAGGGTAAAATGCTTTGGAAATTATTAAGAAAAAGAGATTATTCAGTGAGAGATCTTGGCAAGGATCTCCTGAAGAAGGACAACTGAGATAAACCTTAAAGTACGTGATTTGGACACACTCAGAGTGTTTGTTTTTAAAGTGCCAATGACTGTTGAATGAACACAATGTTAGATCTTGCACTCACATATTGACATTATCGCATAAAGAGAAGAAAGTAATAATAGTGAGAGAAGTAAGTTCAGAAATTTGTTTTAGGAACTTAGGAAACATTTTCCAAGAACTCACGGAAATTGATCACTGGAGATTCAAATAATGTAAGTCTCTTGTCTGCCAGAGAGAGAAACAGAATAATTGATTTGACAGTTGTACTTGTTGCGACCTTACTTTATGGGAAAAAAAAGTAATTATTCATTTATTTGGAAGGCAAATGGCAGAGAGAGAGATCGATCGATCGATCGATCGATGGATCTTCCACCTTCTGGTTTGCTCCCCAGACCAAAGGAAGGATTCCTGAACTGCATTCTAGTCTCCTACCTGGGTGGTACGGGCCTATGTACTTGGACCATCATTGGCTGCTTTCCCAAACACATTTACAGGGAGCTGGACCAGAAGCAGAACAGCCGGTACTCAAACCAGGACTCCAGTGTGGGACGGTGGCATCACAAGTGGCGGTCATCCCCAAGACCTTACTTTTATATTATGTGAATATATTAAGATTTCTATTAAAGAAGTAAGAAGAGACCATAAAGTATTATTATTTGTTATTATTCCAGGAAATAACCAGAAATAATTTTAGTATATGAGAAAATGTTGGAGCCTTTGTTGTGGCGTAGTGACCAAAGCTGCCACCTGTGACACCAGCATCCCATATAGGTCCAAGTTCATGTTCTGGCTGCTCCACTTCCCATCCAGCTCAGTGCTAATGGCTTGGGAAAAGAAGCAGAAGATGGCCTAAGTACTTGCCTACTTGTCACCCACTTGTGAGACCCCGATGAGCAAGCTGCTGGCTTCTGGTTTTGGCCAGGTTCAGCCCTGGCCATTGAGGCTACTTGGGGAATAAACCAGTGGATGGAAGACATACATCTCTTCCTCTCTCTCTTGTTCATTCCCTCCCTCCCTCCCTCCCTTCCTTCTTTCCTCCTCCCTCCTTCCCTCTAATTCTGACTTTCAAAGAAATAAACAAATCTTTAAAAAAAAAATAAGTTTAGTAGCAAAATGACACAGTTAATTTAACCCCAGATGACTTTTAAATTTTTTATTTGAATTACCTAGAAAATTCTTGTTGTCCATTCCATGAATGCCAGGTGGCAGTGTCTGCAGAGTAACAGGGTAACTGCTGAAATACACAGAGCAAAACATAAAGTATTTAAAGAGGAAACCTAAGAAGTTAAAAAAAATTGTTTTTGGAAGCTGGTGGCTATACAAAGGATGTCTTTCACAGTTCTGGAAAGTTATCTGCCCTATCTTCCCAAAATTCCTAAGACCTTTTCCATATTATTAAGAGAGAAATACAACTGGGAGGATCATTGAACCTGGACAAGGAAAGACGTCAGGCCACACTGCATCAGCAAGGTGTACGAATACACAGTGAGAAATATACACAGTCCAGTGACAGCAGGGATTTTACAGATACTACTTGATGTGCTACAGCTGTTTGATGAGCCTTGCGTGTTCTGTACTTGGTGTATATTTAAGGCCTGGTCTGCTTTTCTTTGTCATCATAGCAGCGTGGAAGTTTTACGGGCTTGGTAATAACTGTAACATTTATCAACTTTTTATTATAAAATTTATTTATTTGACAAAATTACAGAGAGAGAGGGAGATTAGAGACCTATCTTCATTCTGCTGGTTCATTCCACACGTGCCTGCAATGGCCAGGGCTGGGCCAGGTCGAAGCCAGGAGCTTCATCAGGTCTTACATGTCAGTGGCAGGGCCTATAATCTTGGACCATCTTCCTCTGGTTTCCCAAGCACAGTAGCAGAGAGCTGGACTGGAAGTGGAGTAGCCAGGACTCAAACTGGTACGCGTATGGAATACTGGAGTCACGAGTGGCTTTACCTAGCATGCCACAATGCTGGCTCCAACATTTACATTTAACGTAGTGATATCTTATTATCTCCATGGCCAGCAGTTTAAATGTATTATGTCCACATGCTAATTTTTAGTAAAATGAATAGTTATAACGTCATAGTTGTTGTCACACATAGATACAGCTGGGAGGTCTTATTGGCTGGTTTTTTTCCTCTTGATTTATTAATGATTTTATATCACATTTCAGAATGATGCATTACATTAGAACAATCCACTTATGATTTTAGGTTAGGCACTACACTTTTAAATGACTACTGAAATATTTTTCGAACTCCTAGAATAACTTCTTATTATTTTTATTTTTTCACTAAATCATTTATACAAATAAATAATAAGGAATATTTTTATGTCAGTCAAGTTCATCCATTTATGCACCTATTCATTTATCCATTCAGATCTCTTTTTTAGAAGATTTATTTTATTTATTTGAAAAGCAGACTGACAGAGAGGGAAAAATATCCATCTGCTGGCTCACTCCCCAAATATTTTTCAAAATGGTCAGGACTAGGCCAGGCTGTAGCCAGGAGCCAGGAATTCCACCTGGGAATCCCATGTCAGTGGCAGAGGCGCAAGCACTTGGACCATCTGCTGCTGCCTTCCCCAGTAGATGAGCAGGGAGCTGGATGCAAAGCGGAGCAGCCGGGACTCCAACCAGCTCTCCTAAATGAGATTCTGGCATCATCAGTAGCTTAATCTCCTATGGCACAACACTTGCCCTTATTGATACTATCTTAGATATCCATAACAAGTGCAGAAAAGTGACTGAAGGGTTGCTTTGCCAAGATGAGGGGACTCCATTATAAGCTGTGGTCTGTATAGTCAAAGAACCCTACTGATGGATTATTTCTATAATGTTAAGGTTTTGCCATACCTGATGGTTTTATATGCCCACTGATTATTTCACATGAGTGAAAAAGTAGAATGTGTTCCTACAGCCATAATTGTACATGCTTTAAAAACTTATTTTATAGCTTATCTTTAAAGTTCAATTACTGGTTGAAAATGAGCCTTCATGAGCTTTCTATCATATAAAGCTTAAGAAAACAGGGGATGTTTATGGTGTGTTCCCTCGCATCTGGAATTATTGTGAAATATATAAAGGTTTAACCAAGAATAAAGTGCCTACTTGTAAGTAAGAACAGCGATTCAGTACAAACAGGCCCTTTGCCTTGCTCTGTGTCCTTCAGCACACGGTCTAGAATTGCTTTGATTGTCAGAAAAGACTTCTTGGATGTGCTTGTGTGCTCGTGCTGAAGCTCAACAGTAAAACATAGTGAGTTAAAAATAGCCACACCAGTAAGTCTCCCTGTTGTCATTTCATGAAGAACATGGCCTCCCCAAAAGAAAAACACAACAAACAGTAAATAAGGAGGACCCCTAATAATACGTAAATTTACCCCGTTGTAGCCTGGAATTGACATTTATACATAGCATAATAAACATTTTGACTTTAAAAAGCTATTTTATTACTGCATAATAGCTACCATTTATTATCATATTTATGTTTTTAAACAATCAGTTATTAGTGCTAGGGGGTATTTCTGTGTGTTTTATTGGCAACGTGCGATGTCTTCCTTTAAAATAGAATTATTCTATTAATGGGCTTTGTGTTGTACACATACCTACCTGGCATAAACCAAATTGATAGTTTAAGTTAAAAATATGTTTCCTGGTTGGAACAATGGAATCCTAAGCCGCACTCAGGTGATGGAAGGAGAAAGATCTTACTGACAAGGGCCAAAAATCCACCACATTCTGAGTCTCACTGCCTGCCCTTCTTCCTCTGCGTGCTTTTGCCTTTGACTCACACCTCTGCAAAAGGACACAAACAAAACTTATTTGCAATTTGCAAAAAAAAAAAAAAATGGAAGGGGGGAATCAAAAGGAGGGGGCTCCAAAAGACTGTAAAATTGTACAGCATGAGTCCTCTGATGCATGCTGTTTTCAATCTGCTGTGTGCCAGTTGGAGGCTTGGGGAGTGTGTGCACACGAGAGAAAGGGTAATGCTGAGAAATGATAGAGTGGCTGTGACCTCCAAGCTCAGCCTGGAAATCCAAGACATTGATTTCACTTAGCATTCCTGCTGAGAAATCTGGCGGAGTTCAGTTGTAATAAAAGAACAAGATTCTGTTCTAATGGTAATGGCGTATGACAGACACACCACTTTGTCTGTCCTCAGCGCCAGAGAGAGGAGAAGCGGAGAAAGGTCATGTGACCTGCCTGTGGTGTTGGACGAGTGCTGTTCTGAGCTTTGAACTGCCACCTAGGAACATAATTATTTATAATATTAAATGATAAAGGAAGCTTTAGAGGACTCACAGTGAACCTCTCCAAGCTGCACGCTGCCACTGTGTTCTGTAAATGTGAAAATGCAAAAAGAAGTCTGGCCTATTCAGACATCTGCATCCAAGAACACGGAGAGCATGGCTTGTTGACTTACATGTCCTTGAACTTACTGTGTGAATCGTTTGCCTGGTATATCACTGATTTCTTGTTTGTATAATGCTTTGATTGTGGTAGGAACAAAATATACACATAA